CGTTGAGGAAAGAGGACAGGATAGTCTTGGGCCATACAAAGATATTTCTGCTTCACCTATTTTTGAGCAACATGCTCTGTCTAGCACAATTATAGTGCCTACCTTTCATGAAGTTTTAAACTGGGAATCTGCTATAAGTATTTTATAAGATCTTGCTAAAACCAATTCCTATAAGTATTGTGTGAAGAGATCAGAGTACAAAACCTATAACTGCAGGAGTCAGGGAATCCTATTATAGAATATTTATGATGAAATTGCAGGAATTTGGCAATGAAAAGTACATTTTTCTAAAATAATATGAAATAAAAGGTAATTTTTTTCTAAAGCAGTACAACTGCAAAGTCAACTTAAGAATAAAGGATGCCTCAGGTCCTCAAACTTTGAAGACATTCTCAGATCTTAAAAAAGTGTAATAATGGTGTAGTATCTAACAACTACACATTTATGGTGGCTAATAAAATGAAAGCTTGAATAATGGACTTCCTTATAATGATCCCCTGAAGTGCTGAAAGGTAAATCTTCTTTAATTACAACACTGTATTCAAAAACATTTCCCACCATGTCAGTATCCTAAAGCAGTGGGTGGGTGTAATATCTACTTTTTTAATTACATAACAAATTGTCTGCAGAAGAGAATTTCATCAACTCATATATCAGATACCACCACCGCCCTTAATGTTGTATAAGATACAATACGATTCAATTCATCTTTATGTGCAACAGCCCCAAAACTACTGCAGGAAAGAAAAAGACCGAAAGAGCAAAGCAATTGAATTAATCTGTATCCTACTTAATGAAATACATACAAAAACCATTCTACTTACTATGGACAGGACTTCTCCTTTCACGAGAGACTTCTCGCCTGCATTTGACTGATCCCCTGTCCTTCTGAGATGAATTTGTTTCTGAAAGTGCATCAAATTACACAGTTATGCCCAGTCATAAACAGAGGCTCCAGTTACAATGACCAAAAGCGACAAAATTAAGAATGTCTTAATTATGGTCACCCTTCTATAGCATAACACAAGAAGTGTTTAATACAAAACATCTGATGGTGTATTTCGTTCTTTATTATGACACATTTCTAACAGGACAAGTAATAACAAACATCTTATTTCTGAACATAATTGTCAGAGCAATTGATAAATGTCACAGCAATTTAGCCCTGGAGAACTTCCAAAAAGAAGAATCAAGACTCAGGGTTTGCAGTAACCAATTCATCTTCTCATCACATCTGAAGTGTTTTCATCTAAGGCAGGGGGCATCAACCTGGTCCCTACCACCCACTAGTGGGCGATTCAAGCTTTCATGGTGGGCGGTGGGGGTTTTTGTCCGTTGTTACAAATTTTGTTCTTCCTCCATATATCGAATACAATGCTAACAACTTTGCGAGTCTGACTTTTTAAAATATACTTTTGCAATTCTTGAAGTATACTCGTAGACGAGGGAGCAATGAATGAGCTCCGTAGCTAAAGGCACGAGTTTAGTGCTCATAACGAGGGCGGGGCTTACCACCGGCCATCACTCAGTCTTCGAGCTGTACCTCTTTCATGGTGGTGGGCAGTATGTGGGGTAAGGAAATTTTACCATCAACAAAGATACAAAAGTGGGCGGTAGGTATAAAAAGGTTGACGACCCCTGATCTAAGGTGCTCCTACAGTGGTCCAAAGAGGTTTAAGTCACTACAGCTAAGCACAGCCCCTGGCTGTACGGGCATATACACAGCAGAAATATTCCATGAGCTATACTGTGACAGACTGCCAACTACAGTGAAACCTCGAAGCATCGTTTTTGGCGGGGCTGGGAAATAAAAACGATGAACATGGGAAAACAATAGTTGCGGGAAAGCATTAAAAATTTAAAAAAACTGAATGTTTCTCTTTCAAAGTTACTTCTTTTTACCAAAAAAAAATGGACAACTGATTTGTCAAAACTTTACATTTAAGGCCAAACAGAGCCCTTTCCACGTTCAAAATGTTTTCCTCGTCACGTTCACTAATATTATGCGAATAAAAGAACGACTTCACTTTTGCCAATGCAGCATGTGCTTCGGCAAAACTCAGCACAGCTTCGGGCTCGCATTCGTCGTCTTCCTCTTCCTCACCGCTCCCACCCCTTCGCGATCTTCACACAACTCATCAATGGTGCCGACTCCGCATGTGGCAAGCTCGCTGTCTACTGCCACGTAATCACCAAATTTAATCACGTCTTTCTTCTTTGCAACTATTGAATTTAAAGTAGATGGTGCTAATCCAAGGCATTTAGCAATTCTTTTTTTCAAATGGATTCTTCTCCACTTCTTACATTATTTTTAATCTTTCTTGAAGAGTTCTGACTTGCTTTACTGGGCGAGACATGGTACAGGAATAATAACAAAATAATTAACAGGAGTAACAAAATATTTACGGGAACAACAACAAAAATATAGACTGGAAGAATGGAAATACTATTACTGGCGAACTCGGACGAAATGTAGCTGTAGAAGACACTGAACCACTGGAAAGGAGATGAACCAGATGAATGAAAAGCCTTTCCTTTGTACTTATAATAAAAGCATTTGTGAAGAAATTCACACTGCACATGCCATCTGGCATCACTGGAATGAAATATGAGTGAACCCTAATTAAATTAAACTCATAAAATTTCTGACAATGAGCACCGCCATTCACTCCAACTACCACCCCTCATTCCAAAAGAATCTGTGCTGGTTGGGTGACATAACAGGTTACCGCTACTGTGTATTCCAAAAACATTGTGCATCTTTCGGTATTAATTTATCTCAAAACCCAGCATTTTAAATTCTAAAAACATCGCGTAAATTTTGTTATAATTTCTCAGAAACGATCATTGCAGGAAAATTGTGGGCCAGGACTAAGATTTTTGAACGATTGATGCAATAAAACGATAGTTCAAGGAACGATAGAAGAGGGAAAAGTAACATTATTTTATATGGGATGTATCAGGGACCGAACAAAACGGACAATGCATCCGGGAAAATGATAGTTCGGGGAACGATGGATAGAGGTTTCACTGTACTTGCTTCAAGCAAGTGTTAGACAGAGTCCCATTTCAAGTACTGTTGCAGAAGTGTTTGACCGAGTCCCAATAAGGTGCAGTTCAAGTAGTGTTGCAGAAGAGTAAGGCAGCCCAGCTTCTCCATGACAAAGCCTATCCCCAATATGCTTGTGCCACAATGCAGTTCTTGGAGCTTCTTCTTCTATGGCTCTCCGGTTAGGGGTTGATCGCAAGGCCAACAACCTTACACCGTAAAAAGGAAGGTTTCGAAACCTCAATCAAAGCCTCGGACAGACGGACCTAACAGAGGACCGAATGGAAGAGGAGAATTGAGGAGGCCATGGACCGAGCTCCTGGAGCAATTTTACTAAGAACGTCTTGCTAGTCCACTATACTTTGCTTTGCTTCTAGCAATTTGCACCACTTCAAATCATTGAACAATTCAAAACAAAACTGCAGTGAAAGCCAACGTTCAAAGTTGGTGCAGTCTATAAATGTCTATCATTTCTATTCAGTTCCTAAGCTATCCTACCAGGTACAAGGTTCAAGTACGTATAAGATAGGTTAGATTAGGTACCACAATATATCAGTTTTATTATACACTGCAACGTTGCCACAAAAACTTTCCACGCTATGGATGAGAAAATGTCCTGGTATGAATTAATTGTGGTGTCTGACAAGATAAATAAAAGGAATCTATCCTGCCAAATTTCAACACGAATGTTATTTATGGCATTTCTACAAAACATATTATATATTAACAATGGAGATACCCCATTAAAAAAAAGGATTTATTTCATATTTGACTCTTCATGGGTAGAGTTAAAACTAGCATCAGAAAACACTTTGCATATAAAATGCAGTGATGGTAATTCAACTCACCTGGTTCATGATCAGACTCAGAACTAGATGAACTCATTCTGCTCATACTTGAACTATCAGAAGATGATGAACTCACTTCACTGCGAGTGTCATATTCATTAACTTCTTCAGCATCTTTGAGCTCATCGCCCATAATATTTTCTTCCATCAATCGAAGGTGAACGTTGTCACCTCCGTCTACGTCTTCACTCCCTGATGCTTCCTTATTCACGGACACCCCTGGAGTTACCGTTGCCACAACTGGTGTTGCCACGTTCTCTGCACGAGGAAAGCCACAGAATTCTCAGATATATGCAAACAAAATCTACTTGCAATCCTCGTATCTGAAAGGTTTCTTACCATCTACCAGATGGGAAAAACAATTTTCACATCCAAATATTACAGCAAATAAACAAATATTATATACAACCCATTATAATCACTCAATACATAACAGGACACAAACTGGGAACAGTTTTAAGAAACTTTTCAATATTTTTTTTTTGATTTGCTTTACAGCCATGACAACAGAATGTGCGGATGATCCACTGGGATCCTTGACAGACATGAACCTGTAATCCTAGTGTTTAGATTAGACCATGTACATGATCACCTATAAAGCTGCTCTATAAAGTGTGCTGAAAACAATAAACAGAATAATTTTGCTGAACATATATTCCTCAGATAAACAGAACATAGCTTCTCTGTAAATTAAATGAGAACTTCGCAGCAACACAGAGAACTGGAAAAATAAAACTGAAAAGTTCCATATACTGCATACAAAAATATATAGACATATCCATAAATTAGAACAATTAATATGGTCACAAGATACATAGTATTATTATAGTCATAATATACGTACCTGTCTTTTGCAACTCCTGGCTGGTGTAACCCTTTTGACAAGAATCAGGAACTGTGTCTGGCCCCTTACGTGAGTTTTCCAAATCACTGTGTTTCTCTATGTCGAGCCCAGATTTCTGGTCTTCAACTATCACACAAAAATTATAACTTATACATCATGATAAAAAGTAAATTCACTGCACTTTTAAGCTACGAGCTCCAAATAAACACTAAAATGTTGAGAATAAATCAATTTACTCATGTATGTACATTTTCAGATTTTTGAGTGCCAAACTGGTATTGGGACAGATTTTTCTGAGTTCTTCAATTTTCCTGTCTCATACTATCAGAACTCCCAAGTTCATTTATGTATTATCTGGAGGATGGGTAATGGGCCTGTCAGAGCCGTAGTTCAACACAGTCTCACATCATTGTAAAAGAAAGAAAGAAAAATCTGAAAGTGGGTAATTCAATTACAAATGAATCTCTGATAATCCAAGAAGTATTTTAGATATACAAGGTTACTTTCTTTCAAATAATAAATCTCTTAATAATACCATCATATAAGTAGATAATGTAGTTTCATACAAATACATATTCCAAGAAATGGATTTCAATCATGAAATCAAACACAAATACAAATTAGCACTACTGCTATAAACTGAAAAAGGGAGGAGCATATGTGGTACACAAGACTGTGTGTGAAATATTACACTACACATTACTTCTTCAGTGACAAAAGATATCGCACAAGTAACATCAGTGACAGAAAACAACATATAAACACACATGTAAGTCAAATAGTTTATAAACAAAAATTGATCATGCCCACATTGAATAACAAAACATTTACTACGTGCTCAGTTAATTTTTTTGATAACATTTTCATGTAGATGATCCAAAACATATTGTGAATTTCAGTCTTTTAATGTTGTCATTGGAAACTATTAATAAAATTCTTTAAATATACATCACGGAGAGACACAATTTTGACACTGTAAACACCATATTGGGATACCCTTTTTTTTGCAATAAAGATAAAAACACAGCAATAAATTAATATAATTCTAACAGAACTAGAATTGCAAATTTCCACTCACACCAAAATAAATTACTTAAAACTGCTTATCTTCCGTCTTACAAAAACCTGACTGATTTTAACCCCAAAACCCTGAATGCGTAAACTAAGCAGGTACAACCTTTCACTTCCCGTTTTGTACTGGATTCATTAGACTGCAATTCAGGTCTGGACTTTCGTTCTGCGCCAGCTACCAGTTTCTGAAATGAAACAATCAGCAATGTCATGCACAAATTAACACGTGTTAACACATGTAAACTTTCTTACTACAATTCTTAGTTTTACTGTATGTCACTTTTCACACACTCTGTTCACTTGACATACAGAAAAATCAAGAATCAACATAACACACCGGGATGCTACACTAATACTTCATACTACAAAGCAAAAATAAAAAGTTTTCTTTCAACTTGTACACAGTAACTGAACAACAGATGGCAGTATGTGTTTAACATTTAAAAGATAAAAGAACATACTATATGTATGTGTATAGTAGAGTGGAAAAGTGTTAGCGTTTCAGACACTTTTAACACACTTTCATCATAGAATAACTTTGCAAAGTTAATAGTTATTCATGTAGAAGAAACCTGGTATCAAAAATGTAAACAAAAGCAATTAACGTTGCTCCCACTACAACAAACAACACAGGTACTGTAAATGTACAATATTTACCTCTTCAACAGATTTGCTGTTAACTTCGTCACTATTTTTATCTGAAGGACCACCACGAGCTCTTTTTATTTCCTTTAATCTAGACTTTACCCGAGCTCCAGCCACCTCCCGCAGTGAGCTCTTGATTTTCTTAGAATTACTCTATGAAAATCAGAAAAATAAACAATATGCAAACAAAATCAGTTAAACAGTTCCATACTAGAAGACATTAATTACAATTGTATATTTTCTCTGTCAATAACAACACTATTCCCATGTTTTGAAAATGAGAAAAGAAAAAATTAAGTGACAGATCCTGCACATGTGCCATTTCAAATAATATGCACTGATTGTAGTGAAATGTCACGAGATAAAATCAAAGTAGCTTATTTGCTAAGCCATGAATACTGCAAACCAACAGGGAAGTTTTGTGGTTCTTACGAGGCACTTAATGTTTGCTGCATCAGAACAAGGCAATGTTCTGCAACTGGTGTGCTGCCACAAGGTTTCAGGAGTGCCACAATTTTTTTTAAAGAAATTGTATATTTCCATGAAAAAACAATATTTTATCTTCCATACTCAGAATTTGTAATACACACATTCACACGCATGCGTGCACTTGCACGCACACACAAACATAAATTCCCTTTTTATAAAATGGTTGTAATGTATTCAATGATAAAAATCAGAAAGATTTATTTAATTCAATGAGACCACAATAAGATATAAAAGCAGTAACCAACCCCTTTTAGACTTGATTTCTTGGCAACCTTTCCACTCTTCACCTTTCTTTTGGTCAAACCTGCTAGCTTGCTGTCTGCTGCAGCAGAGGACTCTTTCTTGATGCCTATAAACAAACATATGTAATCAAATATAATAAAAAGTAAAAGTAAAGCTGTCCCACTATATACCATGCAGGCACTTGGGGGGAGGAGCGGTATACCTCCTACTATTTCTTGACCTCGGCACCAGATGGGGGTGAGTGGTTGGCATCATGCCCCAGCCATGCTTTACCCCTGGGAAAGAATCCCAGTACCCAATAGATAGGATATCTATTTAATCATGGAACTGAATGCTGCAATGCCAACAAACAACTTCCTACAACGCAGATGATTGATCACTGAGGAAAGGAAGTCTGCTATTCCTGCGTTACTCAACTTACATCATTATACAGAAGAAACTAGAAATGCCAACCATATACTTCTAAATAGGCCGTGTACCTACAAAAAATATTTCTCGGCATATAACAAAGCTGTTGCCTAGAAGTAGCAGAAATTTCTCTTTCAATGGTGTCCTTCAGGTCTTGTAATGAAAAAGAATTGTTCACATGCATTTTATATTTTAATGCCCCACCATGTGCAAATATCATGGTGATTTGCCATTTATGACACTCACAATGCTCCAATGCTTTAGCTAATTGCACCATGGAATTATTTTGAGTGTTCTGTGACATTTTTATGCAGAGAACAGCAATAATTTTTTTCCTCAAGGAAGGGTACTAAAATGAACCTAACATAACACTATGAATCTGCTGTGTCATCAAAAACACAGACTCCATTAAGTACGCACTGAATGTACACCAAACTCCAACCTTCCGGGAGGAACTTAACCAACCGCACTAGGATTTTCTGCTCTCCAATAGCAGATTTTCAATTTTTGATCTAGTCTAGGCATGTCAAACTCACAGCCTGCACAACACATGCAGCTCCCTTCAATCATTTCCATGAAATGACTCAGTTCTCAAATTATACACAATGTATGGCCCCCAAATGTCCTACAATACATATGTATAATGTAGAAACTGTTTTCCGAGTTCAAATTTTAATACGATTCAACTTATGGAGGTCTGTCAAAACACTGATATAAAACCAGAAGAACACATGGCAAAATAATGGACCATACCAGAATCTTTATGGATGCACAAGTTTTTATTTGACAGTTATGAAAGGATACAGCTTCAGCAGTTTTGTTGCATACACAACCCTAGAGTCAAGCAGCATAACAATTCTGGGTGCTAGCTTTCAGTCTGGTGCCAAGGTCATCCAAGTTCTCTATCAAATTATTTAATGCTTTCATCAAAAATGAATTTGTTGCACAAAATGTTTCCACTGTGCTGAAAATTGATTACTTACACAACACTATCAGGGTACTCATTAGTGACATTTTTTTGTAGAGTGAAAGACAATTCAAGAAAATGATGGAGTCAAACCCAAGGCTGCTACTGGTTCTAAAAA